TATATTATATATTGTTACGAATGTGTGGGTGAGGACCCACACACAGTTATAAATAACACACAACTACCCCTCTCCTATATGCATAAAACCCATGTCCCTGATGAGAGGTGTGTCGAGGGCTGAGAGTTGTCTGCTTTAACAGTCTAGTGTAGTCTAGAAATGGTCGTAGTCTTGAGTAGTCGTTGTCGGGGTTGAGAGTTGCCGGCGTGGCCTCAGTGTCGACAAACGTGCGGTCCAGCGCACGAAGGTGTTAATAAAATGTATTGAATGTGAGATTAGAGGACATCATGGGGGGACAGCGTTCGGAGACTGTCCCCAAACAGAAAGTAGACTTAGTGAAAATACCTAAAGGTGATGGTTAAGTGATTTATGTGAATCGGGCCCGATGTACGGACATGTGATGGACACTGGTTGCGCCGTGGTTAAAGATAAGTCTAGAATAAGTTGCATGTTAGAATAAGAAATGTTTTAGATTAAGGGATTGTTATGTTTAAATATAGGTTTGTTAATTAAGTAACGAACAAACGCCTTTTCATTAGTAGTTTTAAAGTAATCAGTTTCTTACAGGATCGCGACGTCACGGTAAGGGTGTAGAAGGACCGCGAATGTAACAACAATAGTAAATTAGGGCATGAATCAAGGGTAATAAATGATAAATAAAAGGGTTTCACAATAAATAAAAAGGGATTCGTGACAAAATGGTGGACTAGCGCCGGGTATGCTTTTCGTTGGTTTAACGATCAAATGATTAAAAAGTATTAATTTGTTTTGGTAATCATTTGATCCACCATCGACGGCATTATTACGATCTCGGTAAAACAATTTTATTGTTGGTTCATTCGCGGTTATTTTTCCTTGCGTGTAAGTTTACAGTTTCCTCGTTTTATTTTTTTTTGTTATTTTGTTATTGATCAATTTCGGGTTTCGATTTGTTTTTTCGCGAAGATTCGGCATTTCTTGATTACGCGTTATTATTAAATTGGTATTTATGAAATTTGTTGAACTCTTGGTTATCATAGTTGAGTGTACAGAAGATTGTTGGAACACTTAAAATTATGAAAACATAGTGCAATTTGAAATAATGTTTAGCGGTATATATAAATTGAAATGTTGTTGTGTGATCAAAGGGGTTTTCTATGTATGTTGGGGTTAATGTAAACGTAATTTGCGAAATTGGTTGGCGCGAAAACGAATAATCAAGTAGTTCAAGTAATTGTTAGAATTTTGATTTGTGGATTTTGAAAATCTATTTAATTTGTAAAATTTAAAGGTTGTTTTATAATAATTTTGAAATGCTGAATCTATTTATTGTATTTGTATTTTTGTTCGTTAATGTTTCTTGTTGTTCAGTCGCGCGGTTTGTTTTATTTCGATTTTTTGGGAAAGGCTTTTGTTCGTGTACTATTAGATACGTGTTTCCTAGGTTAATTATAATTACCATCATTTTAAATTAAGATTATTAGAATATAAATTTTAAATTCGAAATTATTATAATTAGTGTATAGAAAAATATTGTTCTATACAGATTTAGAATTTTTGTTTATTACGAACATTATTAGGATTGTTTAGTGTATTGTGTTATTCATAATCATTTTCGTAAACACTAATACATAAAATTTATGATGATTGCCAGATACATTAAGTTATGTTATACAGTTAAGTGTTGTTTCATGGAAATCGTTCTTGTGAGTAGAGTTTATTTTTTTTTGTATATATAGTCGTAAATATTTTAAAGAAAGTTATTATAAAATATCGTATTGCAAGGGTAAGATATCGTTGAAGTCCTTTTCTCTTAGAATTCGATTTCAAATCATAGACATTTAAGTAACGCAGCAAGATAATATTTATGTCTCTTTTTTTTGTGTAAACATTTCATCCCTACGTTTTTAAGGCGCCACAACGCGGGTGGCAAGTATATGTGAGGTCGAAAATGCCCAGACATCGTTCTCGTGTTGCGAACTTATGGTCCCTAACGTATGTCAACGCCAGGCTAAAAGCTTTTTTTTTTGGTTTAAGTACTAGATTTTTGAGTTGCGTAGATAGTTTTAAGTGTAGTGTAAAAAAATATTTTAAAATTAGGGAAGATGTCTTTGTATATATATATATATATATGTTTTTTTTTGTTGAGTCAGGGGTTTACAATAATTTTCGAATACATGTGGCTGTTTTTAAATTACGAGCGAATTTCTTTTTCTGTTTAGTTTTGTTTGCGCTATTGCGTTAGAGTATTTTTATTATGATTTGTTTTATCTCAAAATTTAGAGCAGTTTTGAGAATTGCGGAGTTATTCGCCTCCGTGCATATGAGGTGCCGAATATTTATTTGGGAATGCGTCGAAAACAACGGCTTACAGGGATTTGAATTGTGGCAAATTTTTGTT